CTGGTCTCTGGCAGGCAGTAAGGTACAGAAGAAAGTAAAATCTTGTACCTCCCATTTCAGTGAATTCCCCAACAAAACAAAGGTACAAACATTCTGGGTTTTGTGAATTGAATGCCATTTTTTTTTTTCTCTTTTAAAGTGTAAAAGTTATTAGATGCCACTTGTAGCTGGTGAGATGTATCTGTGATTAAAAGAGAAAGTTTAAAACCAGAAAAAATATGCAAGATGGAAGACATGAGAAAGAAAAGATAAAATAGAATGATGACAGAGTATAAAAATTAAGACAGATTTAAAGCTAAAAACGTGTGAATAAAAACGTAGAAAGGACAACACTGTAAATCAGGGAATTTTCTAAAATCCACTTTAATTTATTATTTTTTTTAGACAGAGCCTTGCTCTGTCTCCCAGGCTGAAGTGCAATGGCACAATCTCAGCTCACTGCAATCTCTGCCTCCTGGGTTCAAGCATAAAATCCACTTTTAAAGTAGTGTATATGAAATTAAAAAGAAAATAAAGAGGAAAGCACTAGAAAACAAACAAACAAAAAATTAAACCTAAAAGGTTAAGCAAAATATGTTGATAACATCCACATAAAATAAAATTAATAGGTTAAAATATTTAAAAAGATGACATTTTAAATAGGAGCTAGAAGGTAAAAGAGAAATTAAGCTAAGATCTCAGAGGCCAAAGAAAAAGAAATATTCTCATAGGATTTAGATTTTAAAAGTTAAGGCTGGGCACGGTGGCTCATGCCTGTAGTCCCAGTACTTTGGGAGGCTGGGGCAGGCGGATCACAAGATCAAGAGATCCAGACCATCCTGGCCAACATGGTGAAACCCTGTCTCTACTAAAAATACAAAAATTAGCTGGGCATGGTGGTACACATCTGTAGTCCCAGCTACTTGGGAGGCTGATGCAGGAGAATCGTTTGAACCCGGGAGACAGAGGTTGCAGTGAGCCGAGATCACGCCACTGCACTCCAGCCTGGCGACAGGGCAAGACTCCGTCTCAAAAAAAAAAAAAAAAAAAAAAAAAATTTTAAGAGAAAAAAAGAACACTATATAGAGAAAAAAGAAAATGAATTTTTTAAAAAACATTACGTTTAAATTGAGAGAAGAGCAAAAATAGACTTTAATCAGACCAAAATTGTATGTTGGAATTAGTGGTCTGGGTGGGTGTAGTTGTTGTAATTGAGGACGCCAAAAACAAGTGGATATGGGAATGATGAGACACTTTTTCTATTCGCCATGGCACTCTCAGCCATGGTGAAGGCCAGGCTCCTGGCATTTTAAGATATCTCTCAACAGAACCGGGGACTTGAAAAGGCCAGCATATCCTGCTTCACTTTGGTTCTTGGAATGTGTTTGATTCTTAGTTTTTCTTTAGCCTTTTTAATAGTCCTTTCATTATCTTTTGCTGCCTTTATGATAAAATTATCATGTGAAAGGCAACTAAAATATGTTGAATGAATGTATTCTATCTTATCTCCTTGGAGTTTTGGTGTTTGATTTGGTTATTACACTTTCTCACACACACCCCCCACCTTTATCACCTTGACTTGTCTCTGACGTTGCAACACTTGTTATTGACCCTGAGTTGCTTGGTTATTTGCTTCTTTCACCGTCCTTGGTGGCAGTGGAATTGGGTGGGGAGGAGACAATCCTCAGAACCTGCGCAGGGGCTGGATTGTTAGGGTGTGGGCATGATGATGAGTGAAAGTGGAGTCAGGGGTGACCCCATGGTGTCTGCTTTTTTGACTGGGTAGATGTTAGTCCAGAAGGCTAGGTTAGGGGTGGTGGTGGTTAGGAATTCAGGTCAGACTGGGACTGAGAGGTTCTGGGGCAACCATAACTGTGTATAAGCCCTAAACTTCCAGAAAGCCTTGGACTTCATAACAGACTGTTATGGACTGAGTGTCTGTGTTCTTTCAAAGTTCGTATGTTGAAACCCTAATCCCAGTGTGATGGTATTTGGAGGTGGGGACTTTGGGAAGTACTTGGGTCATGAGAGTGGAGCTTTTACTAATGGGATTAGCGCTCTTCTAAGAAGAGGCCTGTGAGAGACTAGCTAGCTAGCTAGCCTGTCATGTCACAACAGGCCAAGAAGGCCATCTATGAACCAGGAAATGGTTCACCAGAGATGGAATCAGCTAGTGTCTTGATCTTGGACTTCACAGCCTTCAGAACCATGATAAACAAATTTCTGTTGTTCCTAAGCCACTCAATCCATGATATTGTGTTATAGCACTCCCAAAGGACCAACATAACCCCCTTGTCCCATATTTGGGTGTTTCTAAATTCCTCAGGCATACATTTTGAATTTATCGGTTTGCTGACACAGATAACCTGTCACATCTGTTATGGAGAGATCTGTTGTCTTTCAGAGAGTATTACTTCTATCTCTTTTCAGGGAACTTACTGTAATCCTTGCTATAATAGGAACATACTGAAGTAATGGACTGAACATATGCTAGTGGGACAAGCCTCTTGCCCCAAGTCTACTACCGAGTTGTTGTGATCTTCCTTTAGCCCACGTGAGGAAGTCAGGGCTCACATCACTTAAGAGGGCACAGTGCGCTGGGCGCTGTGGCTCACGCCTATAACTCCAGCACTTTGGGACGCCAAGGTGGGCGGATCACGAGGTCAAGAGATCAAGACCATCCTGGCCAACAATGTGAAATCCTGTCTCTACTAAAAATGCAAAAATTGGCTGGGTGTGGTGGCACGCGCCTGTAGTCCCAGCTGCTTGAGAGGCTGAGGCAGGAGAATCGCTTGAACCTGGGAGGCAAATGTTGCAGTGAGCCGAGATTGCACCACTGCACTCCAGCCTGGCGACAGAGTGAGACTTCGTACCCCCACCCCTAACAACAAAAAAAAGAGGGCACGGTGATATGTCCACCCTAGCCCTGTAGCCTATACATAGGCAGGCATCACACTTTGACAAACGACCAATCAAAATGAGATTTGTCCGTTGAACTTAAGTAAAATAATGGTCTCAGCCCTACTTCCTCTGCTCTTGTCCTTGCTCCTCTATTCCTACTTTTAATTATTTTTGGTTTTCTTGGCTTTACCTCCTATTTCTAGTCCTGAAATCTCAGATTTTCTTTTCATTTATTTTTTGACACGGAGTCTTGCTCTGTCACCCAGGCTGGAGTGCAGTGGCCCAATCTAGGCTCACTGCAGTCTCCACCTCTCAGGTTCAAGCAATTCTCCTGCCTCAGCCTCCCGAGTAGCTGAGACTACAGGCATCCACCACCATGCCTGGCTAATTTTTTGTATTTTTAGTAGAGACAGGGTTTCACCATGTTGGCCAGGCTGGTCTCAAACTCCTGATCTCAAGTGATCAGCCCACCTTGGCCTCCCAAAGTGCTGGGATTATAGGCATGAGCCACTTTGTCCAGCCAGAGATTTTATTTCAATCCTTTGTTCTTTTCCTCTTCTGGGTCTTACCCTTCCTGTCCCCACTGGCCCCTCTCCTATCCACTGAATTCCTGGACCCCTGACACTCTCTGCCTCCTGTCCTTGCTGGGCTTCCTCTACCCTCTGCATTTCAAAGACAAGTTTTGCTGAAATCACAGTTTTCCTGAGGGCTCTAGAAAGATCTGTGTGAACATTAAAAAGCAAAGGTTCCTTGGGTTCATTTAGGCGTTAAGCAAACATTGATTGAGGCCTATGCGTGTGGCAGGTACTGCAGATGCAAAGTTTTCCACCTTCATGGAGCTCACAGTTATTAAGGGGAACCCTGAATTTGCTTAGACTACGGCAACACATTGGCCGCGCACGGTGATTCACACCTGTAAATCCCAGCACTTTGGGACAACAAAGTGGGCGGGAGATTGAGACCATCCTGGCTAACTCAGTGAAACCCCCTCTCTACTAAAAATACAAAAATTAGCTGGGCGTGGTGGCGGGTGCCTGTAGTCCCAGCTACTCGGGGGGCTGAGGCAGGATAATTGCTTGAACCCAGGAGGTGGAGGTTGCAGTGAGCCGAGATCGCACCATTGCACTCCAGCCTGGGCGACAGAGCAAGAGTCTGTCTCAAAAAAAAAAAAAAAAAAAAAAAAAAAAAGGCAAGAAAAAGAAAAAAGAAATACAGGAACAATTTAATCTCTTTTCCTTGTTTCAATATGGAGCATATGGTGGTGGACTCCATACAGACTCAAGCATCTGTCCACATTCTATTTTCGAAGTTTGGTCTCTGCCCTGTCTGCCTTGCCCTCTCGTATCTCCTCCCCCAGCCAACCTTTTTTTTCTGTAGTGCAATTGTTCGCCAGACTGGTCTCGGAAGTTTGATTTTTCTTTTTTCTTTTTTCTTTTTTTGAGACGGAGATTTCACTCTTGTTGCCCCGGTTGGAGTGCAATGGCGCGATCTCGGCTCACCGCAACCTCCGTCTCCCAGGTTCAAGCGATTCACCTGCCTCAGCTTCCCGAGTAGCTGGGATTGCAGGCTTGTGCCACCACGCCCGGCTAATTTTGCAATAGAGACGGGGTTTCTCCATGTCAGGCTGGTCTTGAACTCCCGACCTCAGGTGATCCTCCCACCTCGGCCTCCCAAAGGGAAGTTTGATTTTTCTATGGTCACCAACGGACACTGGATCTCCATAGCTTGAGAATGGCGGCCATCCCCTCACTGGCATGCTTTCCTCTTGAGCTCTCCCGAACGTTCTGGCTGCTCTTTGGATTTCCCTTTCCTTTGCTCACATCTACAATATTGGTGTTTCCTAGGTCCCGTGCTTAGCGATTGTCTCCTCTCCACACTTCCCTGGGCGGGCCACACTGAACTGTCAGGGGCTTTCTCAACTGCGCTTCTTCTCTCACCTGAAACCCTCTTCCCTACCCTTTCTACTAGGTCGACGTCTCCATCATCAACTGCTCCCCACCCATGTCGGGGTGGGCCCCTTGGGCAGGCTCCCCTAGTCTCCTTTCCTCCGATCATCCCGGGGACGGCATCTGCTTGCTCTGCCATCAGCCTCGCATCCTGACGGCAGGGACCACGCGGGGGTTGCCCATCTCTGTATCCCCAGTGCCAGCACTGCACCTCGCCCCAAGCAGTTGTCCAATAAATGAGCAGTAAGTAAACGAAAGAATGAGCAAAGCCTTGTCACAGGAAAGGGGCCGGCGGCGTCTGCCGTGCAAGACCTGGCCCAGTGGAGCAGAGCCTGGAGGTTCAGGAGCCGGGTCTGGAAGGCTCCTAGGAGCCTGTGAGACAGGGGAGCGGAGCCAGCCCGCGCCTGGCACAAGGCGTCTCAGAGGCCGCCCACTGGGAGCCAACCGTTGCAGCCAGTTGTCCCCACGAGCGAGGCCGGAGAAGGCGCAGCGGCCCCTGGCCTGGCCATTTCGCCCCTGCGGCAGCTGAACCGCCGACTACTAGCCCCTCCACCGAGCACACGCCCCGCGCACTTCGCTCTCGGCCTCGCCCGGCCACCGTCGCTCTCTAGAACTCCGCGCCCGTGACCCGGAAGAGCATTCTCCTTAGCAACTGCGGGACTGCGGCGGCGCCGGCCTCCGGGGAGAAACGGTGAGGCCCTCACTCGCCTGCCCCCTACACCGCCTACTGCTGCACGACCCCTTCGGGACCGACCCGCGGTCTGGCCTCTGGGGGGCTCCGCGGCGCTTCGCCAGGCACCTGCGGTGGCGGCCCGAGAGGAGCGTCTTCCGCCTCTGGCGTTGCTCCCCGGCCCACGCGTCTTCCCTATCCGGCATCTCCCTCAGTGTCCCCAGCTCCCCACTCTCCGCTCCTGACCGACCCGGCCTCCCAGGCCGCGCTTATAGCGCCGGGGCCTTTGTAGCCTAGGATGGGGTGAGGGGAGCGAGACCAGAATTAGAGCCTGTTGCTGTAGAGAGGACGCTTCCCCAGGCTCGGGTCACCTGTGGATGCGTTCTCAAGGGTCTTGATCGAGATGTTTCAGGACTGGCAGGGATGGGGAGCCTTGGGAATCTTGAATGGCAGCCGCTTAATTATAACATGTTCTTGACGTTTGCGCTTTCCACAGTGATACACTTTATCTGCTTTATTGATCGTAGAGACTCTTTTAAAAAAAAAATTTAAACTTTTATTTTAGATATGGGGGATACGCATGCAGGTTACTCACTTGGGTGTATTGCACCCAGGTATTGAGCATAGAACCCAGTAGGCAGTTTTTCAGCCCACATTCCCCATCTCTCCCCTCCCAGTAGTCTACACTGTGTACCGTTCCCATGTTTATGTCCATGGGCGCTCAATGTTTCTACTCCCACTTGTAAGTGCGCTCAATGTTTAGCTCCCACTTATAAGTGAGAACATATGGTATTTAGCTTTCTGTTCTTGTGCTAATTCGTTTAGGATTATGGCCTCCAGCTCCATCTGTGTTGCTGCAAAGGACATGATTTTCTCCTTTTTTTTTGTGGCTGCATAGTATTCCATAGGGTACATCCACATTTTTTTGTCCGGTCCACCGTTGATGGTCACCTAGGTTGATTCCTTGTCTTTGCTGTTGTGAATAGCTCAGCCGTGAACATACAAGTGCGTATGTCTTTTTGGTATAATGGTCTGTTTTCCTTTGGTTATATACTCAGCAATGGGATTGCTGGGTGAAATGGTGGCTCTTTAAGTTCTTTGAGAAATCTCCAAACTGCTTTCCACAGTGGCTGAACTAATTTACATTCCCACCAACAGTGTATAAGTGTTCCCTTCTCAACGGAGCCTAACAGGGCTTGTTTTCTGACTTTTTGATAATAGCCATTCTGACTGGTATGAGATGGTGTTTCACTGTGGTTTTGATTGGCATTTCTCTGATAATTAGTCATGATCATGTTTTCCATATATTTGTTGGCTGCTTATATGTCGTGGTCTTTTTTTTTTTTGTATTTCTTCTGAGAAGTGTTTGTTCATGTCCTTTGGCCATTTGAAAAAATGGGCTTGTTTTTTGCTTGTTGATTTAAGTTTCATAGGGATTCTGGATATTGGACCTTTGTCAGATGCATAGTTTGGGAATATTGTCTCCCATTTTGTATGTTGACTGTTTACTCTGTTGATAATTTCTTTTGCTGTGCGGATGCTCTAGTTTAATTAGTTCCAACTTGTCAATTTTTGTTTTTGCTGCAGTTGCTTATGGGGACTTAACCAAAAATTTGCCAAGGTCAATGTCAAGAGGTGTATTTCCTGGGGTTTCTTCTAGGATTTTTATAGTTTGAGGTCTTTTATTTTATTTTGAAACAGGGCCTCACTGGCACCCAGGCTGGAGTGCAGTGGAGTGACTGCAGCTCACTGCAGCCTTGACTTCCCAGGCTCAAGTGATCCTCCCACCTCAGCCTTCGGAGTAGCTGAGACTACAGGTGTGCACTACCACGTTCGCCTAATTTTTGTATTTTTTGTGGAGATGTGGTTTTACCATGTTGTCCAGGCTGGCCTCTGGCTCCTAGGCTCAAGAGATCTGCCTTGAGTCACCCAAAGTGCTGGAATTACAGGCATGAGCTGCCGTGCCTGACTGAGATCTTTGCATTTAAATCTTTAACCCATTATGTATATTGTGAAATACAAGGATCCAGTTTTATTCTTCTGCGTATGGCCAGTGAGTTATCCCAGCACCATTTGTTGGATAGGGAGTCCTTTCCCCATTGCTTGCTTTTTGCCAGCTTGTTGAAGATCAGATGGTTGTAGGTGTGTGGCATTATTTCTGAGTTTTCTGTTCTGTTCCATGGTTCTATAGGTGTGAGACTCATTTAAATGTACATCTTGAACTGATCCTTTTCTGGGGAATTTGCTTCCCAGTTGTGAGTGAGGTATGGTTAGTATATTCTAGAGCTTAGACTTTGTGTCTTACAAGTTTTCTGCAGAAGGAAATCTTCCTAAGACTGACTAGGTTTGAGAAATATTTCAAGTGAAATTTGCTGCATTGAAGAAAGTAGGGGCAGGTGTTGTTAATAGCCTGGACTTAGACTTCAAAAGACACTATGGCGCTGGAAAACCTCCCCTGATTTGAGTTTGAATGAGTGATACTAAGAAAACTGTAAGCCTTATTTGATCGTGGTTGGATAACGACTTTATTTTTAATCTGATGATGATGGAGCTAAAACTGAGGCATGTGAGCCGTTTTTGGAAATGATGTTATTTGGGAATAAAATGTGTGAGTATACCAAAATTCATTCAAAACTATAATTTCATTCCAATTTAATAAATATTTATTAAGCATCTACAGCATTATACACTTTAAAGGATATAAAAGAAATAAAAGACTGCACACATGAAATTATTAGGAAAGCAATAAAATGAACATTTGTTTAAATGCAAAATATGTGGTACAGATTTTAAGTGCTGTAGTAGGTCAGGGTGGAGAAGTCATTTATGGATGAAATGGGACTTGATTTGTCTCTAAAGTACAGATATAATTGTATTTGTATTGGAGGGGACAGGAAGTCCTAATTCCTTTCTTTATATTCTTAAGAGTTTGGGAAATAGTTCCATGTGGCATTTTGAAGTTCTTATTTAATGCTCTCAGGTCACTTGATTTGTGATCTATTTCTTTCAGATAGTCTTAGTACAAATCTATATGGCATTTTTCCTGTGTGAGATCTAAAATAGTGAAGCTACTAACTGAGGGCTTTGCCACTTAGAGATTCTTTGCTTCTGCATTTGGTGTTAGGTTTATATGAAACACCACAGTTTAAGTATAGTTACTGTTTCATTCATACTCAAGAGTCTTGTGAAGTGTTGCTCTTTTTTATTTGACTGGTATTTCCGAAGTGCTTCCTATGTAGCAGCAACAGTATCAGGAAATACCAAAAACAACTGTTGCTTAGCAACCAGTAGGTATGCTTTACATACAGAGGGTGTGTGTGTTTAGCCTATCAGCCTTTGATGCTCAGCATTTGCCTTGAGACATTGAAGGCCAGAGCAATTTATGTAGACATCTGAATTGACTTTTTTTTTTTTTTGAGTTTAATAAGGGGGCTCAGCTGCTTTGGGCATTCACCAAAGATACATTTGTGAAGATGATGCAACTCTTAAGTCCTCTTAAAAGATGTTTCGTTGCTTTCTTATAGACTTAGTGTTCATTTATTCACTTAATCAACAAATATAATATTTGAGTACTTACTTGGTACTAGGCACTATGCTTGGCATTGGAGATGGGGGAGAGTGAGTGCACATATGATCCCTATCCTCTGCAGATGATACTCAATCACACAAATGCAAAACTGGCTGTGACAAGTGTTTTAGAGAAATCACCGAAATGACACTTTAACTGATATCTACAAGAAGCACAGGAAGAGAACAGTGCTCTAGTCAAAGCAGACCCTCTGATGCCATGTCCATGTTGCCCTGGCTGGAGTGCAGTGGTGAGATCATGGCTCACTGCGGCCTCGACCTTCTGGGCTCAAGCGATCCTCCTGCTTCAGCCTCCCAAAGTTCTGGGATTATAGATGTGAGCCACCATGCCCAGCCTGTCCTTTTATTTTATCCTTCAAAAAGTTTTTGTTTTACAGGAAGAGTTTCATGAAACGAAATACTATTGAGCATGAGTACAAGTAAAACTGGGCCTGGAATGAATGAATACATCCCTCTTAGGTCTGGCCATCTATGCCATTTTTGGTGATGTCAGGGAGGTGGAGACTTGACCAGAAGTCTTCTTCTTTATTTTTTTTTGAGACAGAGACTTACTCTGTTGCCCAGGCTGGAGTGCAGTGGCACAATCTCAGCTCACTGCAACCTCTGCCTCCTGGGCTCGAGCAATTCTCCAGCCTCAACCTCCCGAGTAGCTGGGACTACAAGCTCACACCACCATGCCTGGCTAATTTTTTGTATTTTTAGTAGAGATGGGGTTTCACCATGTTGGCCAGGCTGGTCTCAAACTCCTGACCTCAAGCAATCCACCCGCCTTGGCCTCCCCACGTGCTGGGATTACCGATGTGAGCCACCGCACCTGGCTTTTTTGAGACAGATTCTCACTCTGCTGCCCAGGCTGGAGTGCAGTGGTGTGATCATAGCTCACTGTAACCTTGAACTCCTGGGCTCGAGTGATCTTCCCACCTGAGCCTCTTGAGTAGCTGGGTCTATAGGCATAAGCCACCATGCCCAGCTAGTTAAAAAACTTTTTTTTTTTTTTTTTTTTTTTTGGAGACAGGGTCTTGCTGTGTTGCTCAGACTTGTCTGAAACTCTTGGCCTCAAGTGATCCTTCTGCCTCAGCCTCTCAAATGTTGGAGTTACAGGCATGAACCACTGTGCCTGTCCTGGAATTCTTGTTGTCTTTATTAAACTGAGAGTGGTGGTAGAACAGCACAAGATGCTCCTTTTTGTCATGTAACATGAAGTAGAAGGATTTGATGGGTTTTTCATATAGAAGGTATTTTGTTTGAAACCATAGCAAGAACTTGATGCCTTAGAGTAGTTATTAAGTGACCAGTTATGTTGAGGCAAGACTTGATCAGGTTTAGTCAACTGTTAGTCCACCTACTTTTGATTCCTTTCTTGCCCCAATAACAGGCAGCCTTTGGGATGTACTGATAATGACAGATGAGACACTGGTCATACTGGTAGGATG